CAATATCTCAGCAACATTCTTCCCCAGCGTCATCTCCCCAGACTCTTGCTGGAATTCACGGAGGAAGTATCAATGACTTGTTAGCAGATAGCTCTTGGTTGCAGCCTCCAACGCTCGTTAGATAAACTAATTGACAAACTAATTGGCGCCCAGGAGAGAGCATCTTGCTTATGACCGGGGCACGCTGAGCACAGAGCTGAAGGCACCAGCCCACCTTGGCACCGTGTGTTCCTACAGCTCCAGCCTCCACCAGCCCCCCGGGAAGCTGGCGAGGCGAGGACCCAGCGGCACCCGTTTCGCACACGTCGCCGGATTGCTGTCGTCTTCGGACACCACTCCTATCCAAAGGTCATGCCTCAAGCAAGTCGGTGCCAACAACGAACAGGCAGCTCCGGGAAACCCTTCCTTCAGCTCCCACAGCAAGAGCCTCGAATAAAACCACTTGGCCTTCAGCCCATCCAACACACCTTCCTGGTCATTAAAGATTTGTGCCTTTTTATTTCTAGCTTTTTTTTTTTTTTTTACTGCCCCTCCAGATTGGTTAGGCAGAAGTGATCGAAGTTCTCGATGTTTAAACAGAAACTTAAAAAAGTAAATATCTCGTAAGCAAAACACCTTCATCAAGCTCTGCCTGGGTCAAGGGACACAACCAAGAGCCACCAGCCTCCAGCTGGACTTCGCAACCCCCCGAGGGCACACTGGGGGCCACCCACCAACCTGCCACCCCCACCGCTCCCCCAAAAGCTGCTGCCGTTTGCAAACAGCTCCGAAGAGCCGGGAGCTCTACCTGCTTACTTTCTTTCTCTATTTTTCCAAACAAATATCCCTTGGCAAGTGCAACCAGGAAAAGAAGTGTTGAGGGCTTAACCATTGCTCATAAGGCTTCAGATAGGATTTCAGGGGAGGAAAAAAAAAAACCCAAACCCAAAGAATCCATTATTTTGCAATTATTTCATAGGTTTAAGAAGGTGCGTGGGTTTTGTTTTTTGTTTTTTTTCCCTTAGAGCACCCACAGGTCTTCTACCCCTCTGTCCCATCTGTACTACAGGGACCTGGACTTGTGGCTCCGTCAGCCCCAAGGGACTCCTGTCCTCCAAAGCTGCAGGAGATGAGCGAGAGGAGGAAAGTGGGGGGCCCACAGCACCCCAAGGTCCTCCTAAGGCTCTGCTCCAGCCTTGGCCACCCAGACCCGAGCCAGCTCCTTGACAGGAACCGGTGCAGGGTTCCAAGAGCAGGCATTTTATCACCGTGTAAAGCGATGTCCTACAAATCCCACGTGCAAACTGCCCCCTGACTCCAACTCTGACCTTCGAGGGAGGAAAGGGTCAAAAATCAGCCAGATCCCACCCCCGGTATCATTTTCCTTCTCAACCCAATGCAAAAGTGCAGCTGGGGAGGGAGCTGCTCTTGCAAAGCTCAGCTCAACTCAGGTTTTTCTTTGGAACCCAGACGGGAATATTTCCAGCTGGGATAAAATTAGCTTCCCTTTGAGCATCCGATCTGCTTGGTTGCGGGCTTGACCAGCACGGTTTTAGAATCCGCAGCACAGTCAAAGGCCACTCAGCTATTGAGTTTTCTCATGTTTTTCACAGCTGCACTACGCTGCTATTTATCAGCCAAATGAACCCACAGTGTTTTTGCAGGGGAGAAAAAAAAAAAAAGAAAAAAAGAAAAAAAAAGAAAAAAACACACAACCAGAACAACCACAAGCAGGAAACAATTTGCTGGTAATGAGCAGAGCGCTATGAAAATGATAGCTGCGAGATGCACAGAAATTCAGCCCCGACCTTGGCAAGCCACGAGCCTGCATTTCCTCTCCACCGTACGTCCATCACCCAGCCCTGGCTGATCCGCTCCTCCACTGTCGTGTCCGCTTGCGTTGGCAACTCCACGGCCTCAGCAGCAGCCCTGGAATAGCTTTCCTTTTTAAATATCTATTTCATCATGTTAATGAACAAGTTGCTGCATCTGCTTCTTCCTAGCAGCTGCTTGCAGGGACCATTCTTTCAGGGAGGATTTTTCTGCTCCGTTTTTTCCGTTGTTTTTAATGGAGGCTGGATTGCTGGTGTTTGCTGTCTCCACCAGCACCCACCGGCTCAAGCCCCATCCACGCAGGGAGCACAGACAGTACCTACGACGACCCCGTGCCACGCAAAACTTCCCTGCAAGGAACCCCAGAGAGTGGGGACACCTCTGTCACCACCCCACGGCCGGGACACTGCCCCCGTTTTGAGCCTGCAAGGACCACACAGAGCTCCCCAACCTTCTTCTGAGCATCCACCCATCCCACTCACTGATGGCTCTTTTTAACACAGAATTTCCCGTCAGTCCCGAGAGCCATGCCGCATGCCCTCAGCGCATCTCTGGGTTGTCTTTGCTTCTCCAGCCACCGCCCCGCTCCAAGCCCCTGGCACCAGCGCTGCCGGTGGGGATGGTTTCTCACCCACCATTTGCCATCAGCGGGCTTCTCAGGTGAGAAACCGGAGTGTGCTCAGGGGATTTCTTTTTCCCCTCTTCCTTAAGAGGACAACTGCTTTAATAACACAGAAAACCCCCGTTCCTCAAACCCATCTCACAGAGCCCCTTTGACGCCACATTTTGAGCTCATTGGCAGTTCTTTGAACCCTCTCCGTCATTTCAGAGTCCGAGGGAAGTCCCTTTTCCAGCAACAAGCAAGACAAACATCTTGAACACATCAAACCTGGCCATCCCCCAGGGCTGGAGCTGTTTGGGGAGCAGGGGCCAGGTGCCCCCAACCATAGCCCACGTCCCCAGGTGGCAACCCTTCCAGACCACTACAAGCCTGCCTGGCCCTCAGGGCTTACCTGGGACATCCAGGCAGGGACAGCAGTGAAGCCAGCAGGTGACAGCAGAGGTTTGGATGGGGGTCTACAGCAGCAGAGGGTCTCGCTGGCAGCTTCAGGGGAGGAACCAAAAGCATCAACTGCAACTAAGAGAAGAATAATTCTTACCATCTGTGCGAGCTTAAAGTCCAGCCCAGGTGTTGGGAAGACCTCACCCAATGTGCTGATGGCAACAGGGACAATGAAGACAACTCAGTCCCCCCCCCCCCCGCCTCCCTTCTTTTAAC